GCATGCTTGTTCTTTGGCTCAATCCCCTTCTCCATATAAAAATTTGAGATGTTTGGGCCATAATTGAGGCCTCTGGAGCGAGAGAAAAACCGATAAAAATTAAGTATTTGGTCCATTTCATCCCCTAAATATTAACTGATCCAAAACAATAGGGTCTTCATTGGGCCGAACCCATCCTTCATGCAAAATTTCCTGAAGATTGGTCCAAAACTGTGGCCTGTATCATGTTTACAAATTATAATGGACAGACAAACGGACGGACACACATGTCTAGTTCAACTCAGCTAGTCGAGATATAACGATCGGTATACTTAAAGGTGGAACTAGGACCAAAATTTCGCGGCGTTACAAACTGGGACCCTGACAACAAAGTTGTGTAGGGTATACATATCAAAAATATTTACCCCATTAAAAATAATAAAAAGGTCACATGTGCGTATGATTAGTGACAATACTCATACGCCACAATGGCATTCACATGAAACAAAAAATCAGAAAATTTTGAAGTTTTACACAATTATCAACTTTTCAAATAAACACTGACTTTTTAAAAAAATAAACAAAAATTTATTGTGGACTTTGAGTAGCAAACAAAAAGAATTATAGAAAATACTTTTCTTAGAATAAAGCCAAAATGTAATAAAACAGGATTCTGGTGTGTATGATTAGTGACAATACTCATACACCATTGCACCATTTGCATATCATTATAATATTATCTCCCAAAAAAAAAAAAATATTCTTATTATATAATTTAATTTTATGGTTAATATATTTATTACATAAATACAAACATATATATTATATATTTAATTATTTCATCTCTCTGAAATGTGTCAAATACTCAAACTTGAACATTAAAACAACAAATGGGAATTTCGTGGGAAAACAATTTAATTGAGGTTTTAATAAACATCGAAAATATTATTTAACATCAGTTCAGATTTTTGGGAATAATGCCAGTATAATTTACAGATATAGGAAATTAATTAAATTCTAAAAACATTATTATTCAGACACAATTAAGTCAATAAGTTTATGTGGCATAGAGATACGTATACATTATGTCAACACTCATACGCCCTATATAAACATTTAATTTTTCCTTTAACATAAAACCTTCTCGATAACTATGGGTTGGAAATTTTGTGCATGTAAGGAAGTATTTGAGAATTGATAGACTTCGGGAATGAAATTTTAATAAATGAAAAGCAGAAATAGAACGCAAAAGGACAACATGATTAATAAATATTTTATGCTTAGATGCGTATACGTCTTGTTAATATTCATACGCTCTATATAACCATTCTCTCTTTTACCTTTTTTCGGCAACTAATCTTGGCGTATGTGACAGAAATTTTGAAAAATTTTAAATATTGAGGAATAAATTGGAAGCATTTTAAAATAAAACATATTTTCTATAGGCCAAAAATATCAAGGAAAGGAATTCTTAACAGCTTTTCTTGGAATGAAGCAAATCAAATGGTACACTGAGGCGTATGATTAGCGACAAAACTCATACGTCACCTTACCACTGATATGTCAAGGTGCATTTCACCCCTACAAATTTATATTAATTGTGATGTGATTTTACAAAATCACGGCACTTTATCTTATCAATTTTTAAGATGGAGTTACATAGCTAATGTGACAACCCTGTCAAACAGTTTTGACAAACGATAACCGTAAAAAAATAAAACAAATTTTCCATTCTGCTCTTTTTTTCAAATGTTTTTCCTTTTCTTATATTGCTGCTGGTATACGTTGTTTTTTCCATGACTTTGAAAAAAAAACGAAAATCAAAGCAAAGCAAAAACCTAAGGGGACAATTCAACATCAAAGGATATGTAATTACTTTGAGGCAAACATGTCATTCAAGTGCAAGGATTGGAAGGATCTTTGGTATGATTTGTAGTTATCTTGAAAGCATAAAGAAGATTATAAATTGTATAACAATTGACTGGAGAATGAATACACTCAATTAATGTGTGCCGTATATTTAAAATTGTCACATGGGGGGCGTATGATTATTGACAAACATAATACGCCCCAATGTATTCTTTTGAAAAGTTCCTACAAAGATATAGTATAGAACATTTTTCAGAAAAAGTATACATATATAAATCCACGCCTTGTGAGGCCCTAGAAAATATTTGAATATAAATCCACGCCTTGTGAGGCCTTAGAAAAATATTCTTTTACAGATTCATGCCTTGTGAGGCCTTAGAAAAATATTCATTTTAAAATCTAAAATTCCTCTTAAAGGTCTTACAAAACTATTCTTTGATATCCACGCTTCTATTGATTTTAGAAAAAATAGTCTTTGAAATACACTCTTCTATTGGTCCTAAAAAATATTCTTTAAAAATGTCTAGGCTTTTGTTGGTCCTCGAAAAATGTTTTTTTAAAAATCTACGCCTAATTGGTATCTGAAAAAATATTGTATAAAAAATCTTCGCTTTTTCTAGACATTTAAAAATGGAATTATGTGGTGACCATTGTGGCGTATGACTACTGTCACTACTTATACGCACCATTGTTCTCGGTATTATTTTTTCTTTGTTACGTAGCATTTGTTTCTCTCTTATCTCTGTAGTTTTTATTGTTTTTTTTTAATTATTTATTCAAGTTAATGTGACATAAACAGTTAATGAGGATTTTTTTCTACAAAAAAAAACTTCCTCAGTTACTGAGGATTTTTTTTCTATAGAAAAAAATCTTCCACAGTTAATGAGGATTTTTTTTCTATAGAAAAAAATCTTCCACAGTTAATGAGGATTTTTTTCTATGGAAAAAAATCTTTGTCAGTTACTGACGAATTTTTTTTGTAGAAAAAGACTTTTTCAGTTACTGAGGCATTTTTTCTATAGAAAAATATTCTTTTAAAAATCCACGCCTTGTGAGACTCAAGAAAAATATTCTTTTAAAAATCCACGCCTTGTGAGACTCAAGAAAAATATTCTTTTAAAAATCCACGCCTTGTGAGACTCAAGAAAAATATTCTTTTAAAAATCCACGCCTTGTAAGACTCAAGAAAAATATTCTTTTAAAAATCCACGCCTTGTAAGACTCAAGAAAAATATTCTTTTAAAAATCCACGCCTTGTAAGACTCAAGAAAAATATTCTTTTAAAAATCCACGCCTTGTAAGACTCAAGAAAAATATTCTTTTAAAAATCGACGCCTTGTAAGACTCAAGAAAAATATTCTTTTAAAAATCCACGCCTTGTAAGACTCAACAAAAATATTTTTATATAAATCTACGCCTTGTGAAGCCTTGGAAAAATATTCTTTTAAAAATGCACACCTTGTGAGGCCTAAAATTAAAAATCAAAAATTCCACTTTTTTCTAGGGGAAAAATAGTCTTTGAAATCCAAACTTCTCTTGGTCCTAAAAATATTCCTTAAAAATGTCTAGTTCTCAATGTTTATTAAATCACGCCTTAGTGGTCCTTGAAAAAATATTGTTTAAAAAATCTTCGCTTTTTCTAGACCTTTAAAAATCGAATTATGTGGTGGCCATTGTGGCGTATGACTACTGTCACTACTCATACGCACTATTGTTCTTGGTATTATTTATTTCTTTGTTACGTAGCATTTGTTTCTCTCTCATCTCTTTGCTTTTTTAATTATTTATTAAAGTTAATGTGAAACATCAACCCTGAACTTTAGAAGTTGAAATAGTTTTCTTTTTTCCGGTGACCTTTCTTTTCTGTCATGATTAATGAGAATGAAGACACATAATAAAGTGAGTGAGAAAATTCCACTCACATTACTAATGATCACACATACGTACATATGTGAACGGGTGTGTGAGTAAATGAACACTTGTCATTGTGGTCAAATAAATTTATTACGAAAACTACATGGGGGGGCTTCCAAATTCATATGAGCCCAACAAAAAAGTCCTGACATTAAGGAACAAACATTATGGTGTTGTCGTTATTTTCCTGATTGGTGGTTTTGTGCCATGAAACGACGACGATTGTTCCGTCTCCTTTAAGTTCTCGTTGACATTTTGATTAATTTTAGCTGCCTGTCATTGAGTTAGTCTGAAAACCGACACCACACCACCACCCAGTGGATTGCTGTAATGAATTTTCGGCGATAATTTCATTGCTGATTAACACCAAGATCAACACCTTTACCAAGTAATTTGGTGAGAATGGCTGGTAGGAGGTGGGTAGGGAGGAGGTGCCATGGCTGCTAAGTAGCAAAAGAATCGGTGACATGCTTTGCGTGGGCATAAATCACTGCAGTGCCATTATATGATTGGTCTCGGAAATCGGCATAATGGAAACTAGACTGCAGAGGCTATTGATGGCCGTGGCAGTGGTCATGCTCGGGGTTTGACAAGTAGCCAAATATACAGCTCATTATAAATAATGATTAAATTGAATTCGAGAGTTTTAAATCCTGTGCAAAATATTGAAATTCAAAGGTTCAGAAGTAGTTAAAATAAGTAGAAAGAGCCATGGTTGCGTATGACTACTGACATCAATCATACGCAACTATGGTAATGACTCTCTCTAAGAGAGAAACTGGTTTATAATTTATTTTCTAAATTAAATTCATTCTAAATCTCTCTCTTGGGATTCAAAACAACAAAACTCATTTAAATCCATTTTTTGTATTCTCCTTTTTCTTCTTTTCGTCCTCATAAATCTCAAAATAATTATTATTAAGAAAAAAACTGGCAAGTACACTTAAGGACCTACTTAAGATGCATATTCAAAACTACTCAACAAAGTTAGATGACCTTTTTTTCGTTTTGTCTTGGATGAACAAAAGAGGGGAGCAAAAATGGCATATAAAGAGTGCAGATTACACTCTCTACCCCGTCCCCTACACAATGACCCCATTCATAGAAAAAATGAGTAATTTTGTTTTCAGTTCATCCTTTTGTTGTCCTTCTAATTGTAATATAATGTTCATATTTTTGTCATTTTCATTTACTCACATTCCTTCTCTGTCTCTGTTCTCCTCCCCTCTCCCCTCAAGGTCAAGGATATAACGCGCAACATTAAAAAAGCCGTCGTGGCCGCCTCCCTCGAAGAGATACGTGCCAAAGTTGCAGAGAAATTTGACAAAGCCGATCAGCTGGTCACCATCCATTTGGATTCGGATGGCACGGAAATTGACGATGAGGAATATTTCCGAACACTGGAGGCCAATACGGAATTGATAGCCGTATTTCCCGGCGAGCATTGGATTGATGTAAGTGAAAAAAGAAATTACCTTTCCTTTAGATAATTAGATAATTAATGAAATATATACAATATAATAAACATTTAGATAATGTATCTACAAGCTATATAATGTTTCAACATTATCCAAATAACGTAGATAATGTATCTATGTTATCTTAATAACGTAGAAAAAGTGTTTACGTTATCAGAATGACGCAAATAATCATAGATAATGCATCTGAGTTACATTAATAACGTAGATAATGTATCTGTATTACACAAATAACGTATATAATCATCTAAATGAAGCAGATAATTTATCTTATGTTAAAAATATGCAGATAATGTAGCTACGTTATCTAAATAACACAGATAATGCATCTACGTTATCTAAATGACGCAGATAATGCATCTACGTTATCTACATGACGCAGATAATGTATCTACATCATTTAAATGACGCAGATAAGGTATCTTCATTATCTAAATGAAGCAAATAATTTACCCACGTTGTCCAAATGACGTAGATAATGTATCTACGTTATACAAATAACGTAGATAATGTATCTACGTTATCCAAATAACGTATATAATGTATATATGTTATCGAAAGGACGTAGATAATGTATCTACATTATGTAAATAACGTAGATAATGTATCTACGTTATTCATATAACGTAGATAATGTATCTACGTCATTCAAATAACCTAGACAATTTGCCTATGTTATTGAAATAATGTAGATAATATATCTAACTTATCTAAAAACGAAGATAATATATCTACGTAATAAAATTAACGTAGATACATTATCTACGTTAAAAAATTACAGATATAAATTATCTACGTTAAAAAATAATAGAGATAAATTATCTACATTATAAAAATAACATAGATAAATTATCTACGTTATATAAATAACGCATATAATCTATTTACCTTTTCTAAATGACCAAGATAATGTATCTACATTATCTAAACTACGCAGGAAATGTATCTACGTCATCCAAATATCGCAGATAATGTATCTACGTCATCCACATACAAGTGATATTGTATCTGTGTTATTTAAATAACTTAGATAATGTATCTACGTTATTTAAATGTGGTAGATAATGTATCTACATTATCTAAATGAAGCAGAAATTGTATCTACGTTATCTTATGACGCAGATAATGTATCTACGTCATCCACATGAAGTTGATAATATATTTACGTTATCTAAATGGCCCAGATAATGTATCTATATTATCTAGATTAAGCACGACTGATAATGTATCATAATGGATAACACAGACAATGTATCTACGTTACCCGAATGACGCAGATAATGTATCTACGTTATCTAAATGGCCCAGATAATGTATCTATATTACCTAAATGAAGCAGATAACGTATCTAAATTATCTAAATGAAATGTATCAACGTTATCTAACTGACCCAGATAATTTATCATTATTATTTAAATGACACAAATAATGTATCTTTATTATCTAAATAAAGTAGATAATGTATCTACGTCATTTAAAAACGTAGATAAGATATCTACATTATCTAAATACCACAGATAATGTATCTATGTTATCTAAATGTCATAGACAGTGTATCTACGTTATCTAAACGACACATATAATGTATCTACATTATGAAAATGGCGTAGGTAATTTATCTAATTTAATCTAAAGGGCGAAAAAATTTATCTCCGTTATCTAATGAACATGGAGCATTTATCTAACATATCTTAATGACATATACAACATATCTACGTTACTTTAATAATATTCTTGTTATCTAGATATTCTAGATACTGTATCTACACCATGTGTACGCGGTAGATAATTTATCTACATTATATAAACATATTTAAAAATCAAAATGACGCAGATGATGTATCTACGTCGTCTAAACAGTGAAAAAAATGTATCTACGTTATCTAAAGAACATGGATCATTTATCTAACATATCTTAATGACATATGAAACTTATCTACGTTATCTTAATAACATTCTTGTTATCTAGATACTCTAAATATTGTATCTACTTCATGTATATGCCACAAATAATTTATCTACATCATCTTAATATAATAAAACAGAAATCTTCTTCATCAATTTATGTCGACAAAGTATCTCCCATTTTTTTCAGAGTCTCTATGTAAAATTTTTGTTTATCCTGCATATGTGACAGGACATTTTTGTACCACAAAGTGTTCTATACTTGTCTTTTTTTGTCCTTAATGTCATTAAATTGAAATTATTATTTTTTAATTATTTAACCAAGTTTATTTTTCCGAGAAAAAAAACACACAAATTTGTCCCGCAAAGTTTGTGTAAAAAAAAGTTAACAAAATTTTGCCAGAACAAGCAGAGGCAGAAATTATCTTCTGGCGGTGGTTATGTGGCAGTGGATAATTGCCATAACTTTTGTGTGTGTGTGTGTGTGTGGATGTAAGAGGGTGGTTTGGGGGAAAATTTGTTATATTTTATGTTTTTGAGGTTATGGCAAGGCACGTAAAAGTTGTCACCGAACTTTTTTATTCCTCGTAAAGGTATTCTTGAGGTTGTCGGAGTCAAGTGACATTCCTGACGGGAATTCCACTTGAGAAACATGTTGGTGGTTCATGGCTAGTTTATTTTCGGGGCCGTGTAATTATGAACTGTGTGTTGCCAATATTATTTTCTAATTGGATTTAATTTTTTGATCCGAAATTTTGCTTTATAAGTAATTTTTTTATTTTTATTTTTCTACATTATATTTTATTTATTTTTTGTTTTACTTAAAGTCTATTGTAAGCAGTGAGAGTTCCGTTCTTCTTCTTCGTCATCTGTATACCAAGAAGATTTCCACAAAAATTGGGGGGTTTCATAACTTAAGTAAATTCGTTCGCTGAGAGAGAGTCCTTCTAGGCGTAATTTTTTCTTCTTAAAAATCTAAACTAAAACTGAGTTGTTTTTTTTCCTATTTTACAAAGCCTCTAATAGAAACAAGCTGGTCCAAGCTGCACGCGGAATTGTTGATTGGCCTCACCCACATCACGGATGGCAATGTCGACAATTGGCAACCTTTGGGTCTTTTGGGTGGTGTAGGTTATGACGGTCTTGGCCCACGAATTGGAACGTTTCTGAAAATCAAGAAATAAGTTTATCTCCTCCATTCCTCCGAAGTTTCCAAATACTTACCCTGCACTCATCCAACTCAGCCTCATAACGCAATCTCTGCGGACCCTTGGGTGTGAGTTCAGCATCATTCCAGGACAATAACTTCAAGCCATCCCTAAAATAACAAATTAAAATAATTTCCCACTCCCTCATAACCTCCCCCTTCCCCACTCACCTCTTTGACGACGTCTCCTCATCCAAATAGGCCACAGTATTCTTACAATGGAATGTAATCTTCTGACTTGCCCGGCCCGACAATAATTGCAGGAAACCCATTTGATTGGAATCCGTTTTATAGTTTATATCCATACCTCCGGTCATTTCACCCAACCACACCTCCTTCTCCCCGCCCACATAACTCAACACACTCGACTCCTTGGGTGAGGGCAAAATGCAGGTCGCTCTCCTCTCCTTTTCACAATAAACCAATATGGCATCCTGAATATCACCCTCATTGGGATCTATCCAATATTCTCCCGACTTAAAGTCAGGATAGGCAGCAAACAGGTCACGACAAGTCTTTGCGGGAGCAGTTTGTTGGCCATTCGGACGCTTGAAACGTTCAAATGAGGCCTTGACATGATCGAAAGCCTTCATTACCAAGGCCTGTTTCTCCTCATCCGACAGGCCTTCGGTTAGCTTATCTATCATCGGCTGATCACCCATAACATCAACACCCTTGGTCTGACCTTGGCTAAGCAGGGCCGTCAAAGCTGCCACATCGTAGCCCAATGTTTCTCCTGGAGGTCCAGGTGGACCTGGAGGACCGGCTGGACCCATGGGACCTGGTTTACCATCATGACCACTGAAACCTCTAGGACCGGCTGGACCAGGTTGACCTGGTGGACCGGGATTGCCATCTCTGCCTTGTGGACCTCTCATACCCATTTCTCCTGGTTTTCCTGGAGCACCTTGTAGACCTGGTAGACCCATATCACCCTTTATGCCTGGGGCACCGGGCAAACCTTGCAGACCAATCAAACCTCTGTGACCCTTAATACCCTTGGGACCTGGTTCGCCAGTTTCACCTTTAGGACCTTCCATGCCAGGAGGTCCAGCTTTGCCTCTTGGGCCCATGGGACCCACAACACCTGGTAAGCCAGTTTCGCCTTTAAGACCTCGTTCACCTTGAGGACCTGCGGGACCAGTTGGGCCTGCCGGACCGGGAAGACCTGGATTACCGGGAGCACCTTGATTGCCTTGCTGACCTGGTGGACCCTTATCTCCGGGGCGTCCTTGAATACCAGGCGCACCAGGTTTGCCAGCTGGACCAACGGGACCTTGTTCACCTTGGGGACCGGGATTGCCTTGTGGACCAAGCAAACCTTGGGGACCGGGTGGACCATCTTTACCAGGTTTACCGGGTTGGCCAGTTTCTCCTGCAGGACCTCTCATGCCGCGCATACCTTGGGCTCCTGGTGGACCAGGTAAGCCGGGCATGCCACGATCTCCCACCGGGCCTTGAGGACCTTGAGTGCCAGGGGGTCCAGGTGGGCCATCATTGCCAGTTTCTCCTTTTTGGCCTTCAGGGCCGGGTGGTCCTTGTAAGCCGGGTTGACCTGGTTGTCCAGGACGTCCTGCTTCACCAGGGCTACCCTTCAGACCTTGTGGGCCAGCAACACCTGGTTGACCTGGGCTGCCAGGTTGTCCCTGAAAATCAAACAAAACAATTTCATATCTCAAAACTTCCGAATTCCTCCATCTTTACTTACTGGTGCTCCAGCATCTCCTGGCCTTCCTGGCAAACCACTCATACCCGGTTCTCCTCTCAAGCCTGGTTCACCTCTTGCTCCCTTGGGACCAGTTAATCCAATTGGACCGGGTATACCCTGTTCACCGGGCTGGCCTTGAGGTCCAGTATCACCTTGAGAACCCTTGATGCCCATTAAACCGCGATCACCTTTAGCACCGGGCAAACCAACAATACCAGGAGCACCTGGGAAGCCTGGTGGGCCAGCTGGACCAATGGGACCTCTTTCACCGGGAGCACCATTTGCACCTTGTTCACCGGGGGTACCAGGATTGCCAGGGCTACCACGTTCTCCTGGCTCACCGGGGGCACCTGGTGGACCAACATTACCCTGAGGACCTCTATCGCCAGGACGGCCGGGAGCACCTTCTGGGCCCATGGGACCTGTACTACCGCGTTCACCTTTAACACCAGCGGGACCGGGAAGACCTTTGTGACCGGGTATGCCCATCATGCCGGGAGGACCCATGTGACCTTTATCGCCAGGTTTTCCGGGCAGGCCCTGAAATTTTGAAGAATTAGTCTTCACTTTTTTGAATTTATTTTTCAAAACCTACCGGTGGTCCATCATGTCCTGGATTTCCTGGTTCACCTCTTTCACCCGGTGTACCAGGTTGACCAATTGGTCCTCTTTCTCCGGGATAACCTCTTTCTCCTCTCAAACCAGCGAGGCCAGTTGGACCTTGGGGACCGGGTGGACCATGAGCACCATCCTTGCCGGGGGTACCTGGACTACCAGGTGCCCCAGGCAAACCTTGAAAACCTCTAGGACCCGTGGGGCCCGCCTCTCCTCTTGCACCATCTTGACCTGGTGGTCCGGGAGGACCCTGGGCACCGGGTAGACCATCTTTGCCATTGTCACCACGAGGTCCAGGTGGACCAGCTACACCAGGTTCGCCTGTTTTGCCAGGTTCACCAGGAATACCTTTATCGCCAGGAATACCCATGGGACCGGGTAAACCTTGTAGACCTTGAGGACCCTGTTCACCAGGTTTTCCATCAGCACCTGGGGGACCACGTTCACCTGGTGGACCGTCTCTGCCATCGGGACCAACACGACCAGGAAGACCACGTAAACCTTGAAGACCAGGCAGACCGGGAGGACCAATATCACCATTGCTGCCTTTTTCACCAGGGGGGCCTTGTATGCCTCTCTCGCCGGGAGTGCCCTTGGGGCCCATGGGACCATCAGGACCGGGGAGTCCAGGAAGACCGGGTGAGCCACGTTCACCAGTGGGGCCAGCAGGACCGGTGGGACCACGCATGCCACGTTTACCGCGTTTGCCTTCAGGGCCGACTGTGCCGGGTAGACCTCTAGGGCCAGGTTGACCAGCCTCACCTTTTATGCCTTGATCACCTGAAGAGGGAATTGAAAGGGGTTAGAAGGGATATTGGTTTCGTGTTTTCGAAGTCCTACCTTTGTAACCTCTTTCACCAGGTTGTCCGGGAGCACCTTTAACACCAGGTTCACCAGGACTGCCGGGAAGACCATCAGGACCTCTAGGGCCTGGAAAACCTTGAGGACCAGCAATACCAGGAGAACCCATTGAACCCTTTTCGCCAGGCATACCATCTTTGCCGGGTTGACCAGGAAGACCATTTTCACCGGTAGCACCTGGACGTCCGGCCTCACCACGAGGACCTTGCAAACCTTGATCACCTTTGGGACCCATGTGGCCCATATCACCTTTGGCACCAGGAATACCAGGGAATCCTGGTGGACCAGGCTTGCCAATTGAACCAGGTTGGCCGGGTGTGCCGGGGTTACCATCCAAACCTCTCGCACCAGGTTGGCCAGGTGGACCTTCACGACCACGTTCGCCTCGGGGACCAGCGGGACCCTGGAAGTAAAAAGAGGTAATTTTTAGTTTCAAATAAGGGTTCGATTGTTTGACTTACAGTTGAACCAGGAGGTCCCACGGGACCCATAACACCAGCCGAACCCTTTTCACCGGGAGCACCCATATCACCTTTGGCACCATCTAAACCGGGCAGACCGCGATGTCCTTTTAAGCCAGGCTGGCCTGGAAGACCGGGTAGACCACGAGGACCTGGAGTGCCGGCCAAACCTTGGGGACCTGGTTCACCATCTTCACCGGGCATGCCATCTTTTCCTGGCGGTCCAGGCAAACCTCTGGGACCCATCGGTCCGGGTGGACCCTGGACACCAGGTTCTCCTGGTTCACCACGTGTACCCTGGAAACCTTGTGGACCTTGAGGTCCTACATTGCCGGGAGGACCACGAGGACCTGGCTGACCATTGGTGGGAATTGGAACAGGCGCATAAAATGCAGCAGCTGTGGGACCTTTCTCCGAGTTGGCATATTCAGCAGCCAACTGTTGATGATAATAACTCATGTCAGGCATGGGACCTGGTGGTCCAGGATTGCCAGGTACACCAGGTGTACCGGGTGCACCAGGATAACCAGCTTCTCCTGCAGGTCCTTGGGCACCAGGATATCCAGGTTCACCTCTGGGTCCCAGAGCTGCTTCATAGGGATTATAAGCTGGACTTGTGGGTGGTGTCATAGGTTTCGGGGTAGTTGTTGTGCTGGTCACTGGAATTTCATCAATCGGCTGCAGATCTATGGCTGGTCCCAGGCCAAATTTACAATCTGGTGAAGGACTACATTCCACCTTTCCTGCCCGGCAGATACAATTATGGACACAGTTATTTTGTTCGGTGGTGAATTCGTCATTGTCCCGATACCAGTTGCCCTCATAGAAGCAGGAGAAGGGATTGATGACATTGGAGACCATGCGGGGTGTTGCCGTGGAGGAGGCTACCTCTGTAAAGAGATGGAAGGAAGGGAAGGTTATGTGTGATCTAAAAATAAATCGAGTGCCGGACACTTACCCACACCATGTGCCTCGAACGTATCAACATCAGAACCTAAATCTGAAAATAAATTGAAACAAAGAATTTTGATTCAGACCTTGCGGAACAAATGACATGTGGCTGTGTGTGATTGTGAGTGTGTGTATGTGTGTATGAGTGAGAGATATAAATCATAAATTTATGTGTATCGTCAGCCTGAAAACGTTTCGCGGACAACATAAATCTTAACTAAACTGCATCTATTCATTTGCGTGGATATTGGACATGGGTTTCCAATTAGAATCGTGGGACATACATACCAACACACATGTGTGTGAAATGAGGTAAGTGTTCCACAGTGACAGTGGTTTGAATTCAGCTTTTGCTGAATTAAGTTTTGCATGGGAAAATGCAATTCCGCTTTTCTGAATATGAGGATTATAATAAAAAATGTAATTCAGCTCAGCTGAATTGAAATTTAATTAAAAAAATTTTATTCAGCTTAGCTGAATCGAAGTTTTTATTCGAAATATGTAATTAATCTTAGCTGAATTACAGTTTTATTAAGAAATCCCCTATTCAACTTAGCTGAATTACATTTCTCTCAAGAAATCAATAACAAAACTCAGCTGAATTGGATTTTTCTGATGAAATCTGTATTCAGCTATGCGGAAATGAAGTTTTATGGCGAAATCTATAATTCAGCTCAGCTGAATTGAAGTTTCGTTATAAAATCTATAATTCAGCTTTGCTGAATTTATGTTCCAATGTGAAATTTCTAATTCAGCTATGCTCAATAGTATTTTTTTCTCATAAAATCTATAATTCAGCTTAGCTGAATTGCACATTTCTCAAGAAATGTTTAATTCAGCTAAGCTAAATTGATATTCTATTAAAAAATGTAGAATTCTGCTTAGCTGAATTGTTCTTTTTTCAATAAAATTGTAATTCAGCTTAGCTGAATTGCAGTTTTCGCAAGAAATTATTAATTGAGCTAAGCGAAATTGACGTTTTATTAAGAAATCAATAATTCAGCTTAGCTGAATAGTATATTTTTGAATTTAGCTTTGCTGAATTCAAATTTTATTATGAAAATCAATAATTCATCTTAGCTGAATTGAAGTTTTATCACTTAATCTATATTTCAGCATAGCTGAATTGATTTTTTTATTGTTAAATGTGCAATTAAGCTAAGCGGAATAATTTATTCTTAGCTGAATTGAGCTTTTCTTGCAAAATTAATGATTCAGCTTAGCTGAATTGATTTTTTGATAAGAAATCAGCATTTTAGCTTTGCTGAATAGCATTTCACATTAGCTGAATAGAGTTTAACGTAGAGAAACTGTAATTAAATCTAGCTGAATTGAATTTTACCCAGCTTAATTGCTTCCTTGCGTTCTTGAATTGGGTTTCAGGTTAGCTGAATTGAGTTTTCTGTAGCTGAATTGCATTTTCTTTACAAATTTTATAATTTAACTTAGCTGAATACAATTTTCAGTTGCAGAATTATCATAAAACTTAGCTGAATTGAAGTATTTTCGAAGAAAATCACATTTAAACTTTGCTGAATTGGGTTTTCAATAGCTGAATTGAGTTTCCCATGCCAAAATTGTAATTCAGTTTAGCTGAATACCTTCTTATGTGGCTGAATTGAAAATTTCTTTAGCTAAATTGAATATTCTATGCAAAAATTTTAATTCAGCATTGCTGAATATGGATTCCGTTTGAAAAACTGCAAAAAACTCAAATATAATTAAGTATTTTCAAAAAAAATCAAATTACAACATTGCTGAATTGATTTTTTATTAGCTGAATTGAATTTTCTATGCGGGAATTGTTTTAAAGTTTGGCTAAATTGAATTTTCTGTATGAAAACTTTATTTCAACTTAGCTGAATTGATGTTTTTGGTGGAAAAATTACAATTTATTTCAACTAATGTTAATTTTATGTAGGAAAACTTCAATTCAGCTTAGCTGAATTGTGTTTTCTATAGCTGAATAGTAATTTGAATTAGCTGAATTCAATTTTCTGCACAAAAATTACAATTTTACTTTGTTGAATTATATTTCCCATGCGAAAACTGTGCATATTTTCAATGAAATAAATATTAATTGCTGTTGTTGTCAAACAACCTTATGTGCATTTCATCCATCCATTAAAGTGATTCCGAAACTTCTTTGTCTACATAAAGCATCTTGTTTATTCATAAATATTACTTTAACATATTGACAAGAATGGAATGGAGGACGCCAAACGATGATGATGATGACAGCTAGCAATTTGCTGCCCTGCAGCTACAAAGAAATTAAACTGTGGCGCTTTTTTTCTAATAATTAATAGATGAAAAAAATGCCGTTTGGAAAATTGGCGCTATCGACGTCATAACGAAACGATTATTAACTCAATATGTGTGCAAGAATCTATGATATGTGTGTGTGTGTGTTCGTGCGAAATGAATATCAATTGATGTGCATTGAAGTTATTTTTAGCGAGCTGAAACACTGGCCAAGTTTATGCCGGAGAAATGGGTCAATTTCAATTTGTAGGGGAGTAGAAGTTCTTCTGCTACTACTTACCATCATCATTGCCGTCATCATTAGCATCATCATAATTCGTATAATCATAATCATCTAAATTGGCATCCTCGGGTTTGGGTTCCTCGGCCTGGGGCCTTTCAATTATCTTCAATTTCTTCTTGAGCCGGGCTTTCTTTACTTTTTTGAGACTTTTTGCGGTAGGGTCTTTTGTTTCCGTTGTATCGGCAGTTACAGCATCGATTAGAACACAGGCGGTGATTAACAGCCAAAATAGTTTGAAATGCATTGTGGTGGTGGCACGTCGTTCTTCCCTTCTCTCTCTCTCTCGCTCTATACGTTCCACATTGAAATCACAACTGAATGGATTTAAGCATTGGTGAGATTATCTGAAGAAGAAGAAAAAACAATGTATGAAGTTGAAATAACCCAATTAAAATTTCGAAATCAGGAAATTGGAACAAAATTAATTTTTTAATGCATTTTTTAAAATAATTGTTGATAGTATTTTGTTGTTGTAATTTTTAGTATTTTTCTTTATTATTTTTTTTTTTGTTTTATATATTTTTTTTTGGAGTGAAAAATTTAATCATCTTTAATAGTTTCTATACAAATGTTAAAAGTTCACCCAAAATTTTTTGTTGATAAGTTTTGTCTTTGCCTCTCAAAGAAGGAGTACATCTCATTCACGGCCTTATCTCTAAACTATGAAATTTTGGTAGACAAAACCGCCGATCAGCAACAACAGAAATTTTGTGACAACAAAATTTGACACTTTTCTATTTCCTGTTGACACTGGCCATCGACCAACCCATCATCTTCATCATCATGTGGCGCAATGCATGTGATTTGTATTCGAATGAAATGAAAAGGTTGGCAGAAATATGACAGATCGTTTTAATTAAAAATTCACAACAGGGAAGCGTTGTAATTAATTAAATGATGGAGAAGGAAAATAAAGGGATAAAATGAAAATAGAAAATAGATGTATGCTTAGGAAAAAATTGCAATCGAACTTAACTGAATGCGATTTTTTCATAAAAAATTGTCCGGTATTAAAAAAGCTGAACGGATTTTTTTTTGAAAACTAATAAAACTAAGCGGAATTGAGGGCTATTTTGAAGAACTAGAATTGAGCTAAGCCAAACTGAGTCTGTGATTCATATATGAATAGTCTGAATTAAGGTTTGTATATGAACATTGTATTTTAGACTAGCTGAATTAGGTATTATATTAGGTTCAGATACTGCAACAGCCAATTATGTGCAATTTTGGTTTTGTAGTTTCTGTTCAGGAATTTTTGATGCTAAAGATGCGCCTCGCACAAGTAGGCCGGTCATAGAAAATGTCGATAAAATCGAAGAAATGATCGAGAAATGCGCTTAAAATGGCAACAAGTCATACAACAAAACGTGCATATTTGGCCCAAATCAGACATTCCGTAGCATGTTAAATAAAGTCTTATAGTTCATATAAAAATAATGGATTTCTTTTTCCCCAACCTCATTTATTTGGTCCAAAGACGAACCCTATTGAAATTGGGAAAAATCGGTTCAGATTTAGATATAGCTCCCATATATATTTTCGTTCGATTTTAGGTAAATAGTGCACCAAAGTCTCGATATATCCTTCGATTTGTACGAAATTTGGCATAGCATATTGAATTGTGTCTAGAATGGTGAGTGATAATTTTCGGGGAAATCGGTTCAGATTTCGATATAGCTCCCATATATATTTTCGCCCGATTTTACGTAAATGGTGCACCAAATTCCCTATATATCCTTTGATTTGCACTAAATTTGGCATGGCGTACTGAATTGTGTCTAGAAATATGTGTGTTAAATTTCGTGAAAATCAGTTCAGATTTCGATATAGCTCCCACATATAGTTTCGTCCGATTTCATTTAAATATTGCACCAAATTCCCTATGTATTCTTCGATTTGCACGAAATTTGGCATAACGTACTGGACTGAACCTAGAATGATGTCTGCCAAGTTTCGTGAAAATCGGTTCTGATTTAGATATAGTTCCCATATATATTTTCGTCCGATTTTAGGTAAATAGCGAAATAAAGTCCCTATATATCCTTTAATTTGCACGAATTTTGGCATAGCGTAATGAATTTAGTCTAGAAAGGTGAGTGATAAGTTTCGGGGAAATCGGTTCAGATTTCGA